GTCGAGCGGTTCAATCGCACGCTCAAGAACGACATGTGGAAGATGTTTACGCTCAACAGCAATTACAAGTGGGTCGACGAACTGCCGCGTCTCGTGTCAGATTACAACGCGCGCAAGTATCGCACTATCGGTATGCGACCCGCCGACGTAACTCCTGCGATCGCCGAAAGACTCTTGGGCACGGTGTACAGCGCGATAAAGATCGCGGGTGCGGCGAAATTCAAAGTGGGCGATTCAGTACGCGTGAGCAAATACAAGACAATTTTTGAGAAGGGTTACACGCCAAATTGAACCATCGAGGTGTTTACGATCGTTAAAGTGCAGCGTATCAATCCTGTAACCTGTCTACTCGAGGACTATCGCGGAAAATCCATCGCTGAAGCGTTCTACAAGAACGAGTTGCATCGCGCTACACATTCGGACGTGTATCTCGTGGAGAAAGTACTGCGCAGGAAAGGAGACAAGGTGTACGTCAAGTGGCTGGGATTCGATGGATCGCACAATTCATGGATAAATAAAAACAATGTCATTTGAAAAAAAAAGTTTTTTTTTATACATATAATTAATATATCAATATAAATATATAAATGTATAAAATATTTTTATTATTATCCCTTTCATCTTCGTTTGGAGTATATAAAATACATAATTTTTAACCACATATATACAGAGATAGAATAAGTATATATAATACAATATTTAAAAATACATATACACTGTATGAAAATATAAAAATGTTAAAAAACATACATGTAAATTATAATGATAGTAATACATAAAAATAATATTAATACGTATATAAATGTGTAAAATATACATGAAGTATATTAAAATAATACTTAAAAAATGTATAATACAAGAAATGTAAATTACAATGATAGTAATTCATGATAGCAATATATACTACATATAAAACGTACGATACATATATATATATTACAAAGGTATCCGCCAATGCTCCCACGGTAACGTCTCCGTCGAGTCCGGTACGACGTATCGTTTATCATCGTATGGACTCAGAGCGACTTTCGAATCGGAAATCGTGTATACCTCGTGCAGTTTAGATCGTATACACGATTGACGGCGAGTCATTTCTATCTCTTCGTTCAAACAACGCGTGTAAACATCGAAAGTTGTCGTTCGCGCTACGACGTTGCTCTTTACCCCTTTCGCTTTTTTAGTGTCCTTCTTTCCATCTACACGCAAGGCGTACATCTTCGCTCTGAGTCCAACGAATTCGGTCATTATCGTGCCGTTGTTCTCGTCCTTCATCAGACCCGGCACCTTCTTATTCTCGAGAGGCATACCTTACGCGTTGTCAGCCGGATAATCACTCGTGTCGAACCTAGCGATATCGCGTTTCATCGTCTCGTATACATCGCTGCATTCGATGTGGTATATAAGACTGTCTGTGTCAGTATACATGATCTTACATTTATTTTGATACAGCGGTAGCATATACTCGTGATGAAATTCGTACAAGCAGACTTTCGATATGTCCAGGATACACATACCCACGTAAATCGGCTTGTCGAATTTCACCTCGAGTTTACGCAGTTCGACGGCGATCAAATTTTCTGCAAAGACGCCACGACTATGAAAATTCGGTTTCGCGATCATTGCCTCCGCGCCGTACCGTCCCATTTCGTTATCAATTTCACGTCGACGTGATTTCGAACGTTTTCCATAGTTTTACCGAATACCGCGTTGTTCATTAATTTGTATAAATTTTTTTCGAAATAATTTTTAGCGCGCGTTCTAAATTGCGTATTCAGTTCGATGTAATCACGGAGCCAGGCGGATTGAGCGAATTGTAATACTCGATGAATTTTCGTTATGCGAAGGCCGTGACGAGTACATTGCTGCAGGTTGCGATAGAGGATGACGTAACGCTGCTTATCGTACAGCGTCGCGAGCAGTTTATCCTCGCGCTTGCCGGGCGGCTTATCACGCGTCGGGCAAAAAGGTAGATCAGTGTATCGATCGTGCAGATGTTGCGGATACTCGAGATCGATCTCGAAAATGTAACAGGTGGATGAATCCGAAGCGATCGCGCTCACATCGAAATTGGTAGCGTCTTCGACCCATTGAAAGTCGGCATATGGCAATGGTTGACACATCGCCCATCCAAATAGATTGTTAACATCGTAGTACATTAAGTATGACGACGGTTTCGATGGGTCGTACGAACGCATATACTTGTTATTGGCCTGCGCGTATCTACCGGAACATTGACTGAGGCCACCGCGTATACCGCGCTCGATGAACAAGACCATATCAATGTAGTTCAAATTTTACATGCGTGTGTTTTAACATGGCATCCCATGTGAAACCAGGCAATGTATAGTAATGTGCAGGATCAAGACCATAACTCTCTACATAACTTTCGCGGAAATTTTCGAAAATATCAGCCAACAACAAGACATCGGTTTTCAAGTACAGATCGCTGTACTCGCCGAGCGTTCACACAGAGAATCGTTGCCAGACGTTCGCAGCGTGAGCGTAATCCCGGATACGGTATCGCCCGTCAACGAACTGTAAAATGATTCGCGAGGTGGTAAGCGCGTGTCGTCCAATTTTTCAACGCAGTCAACGTACTCGTACGGAAATATACCTTTTCGCGTTAGTAATTCGAATTCTTCGTTGATAAAGTTGAAAATTCGAAACGTACAATTTTTAATTTTTCTTTCTTGAGATACGACGCCAATTTGTCGAGGCTTGCACTGAGAAACTTGTACGAGTCTATGAATCGCAATTTTACACAATTTTTATTAAAATTCTTTTCATTTTTTTCTTTTGTACTGTCAACGTGTTTCGTAAACGATATGTATTTTT